CAGAATCTCAGAATCTCAGAATCTCAGAATCTCAGAATCTCAGAATCTCAGAATCTCAGAATCTCAGAATCTCAGAATCTCTGAATCTCTGAATCTCTGAATCTCAGAATCTCAGAATCTCAGAATCTCAGAATCTCAAAATCTCAGAATCTCAGAATCTTAGAATCTCAGAATCTCAGAATCTCAGAATCTCATAATCTCAGAATCTCAGAATGTCAGAATCTCAGAATCTCAGAATCTCGAATCTCAGAATCTCAGAATTTCAGAATCTCAGAATCTCAGAATCTCAGAATCGTAGAATCTCAGAATCGTAGAATCTCAGAATCTCAGAATCTCAGAATCTCAGAATCTCAGAATCTCTGAATCTCTGAATCTCTGAATCTCTGAATCTCTGAATCTCAGAATATCAGAATCTCAGAATCTCATAATCTCAGAATCTCAGAATGTCAGAATCTCAGAATCTCAGAATCTCAGAATCTCAGAATCTCAGAATTTCAGAATCTCAGAATCTCAGAATCTCAGAATCTCAGAATCGTAGAATCTTAGAATCTCAGAATCTCAGAATCTCAGAATCTCAAAATCTCAGAATCGTAGAATCTCAGAATCTCAGAATCTCAGAATCTCAGAATCGTAGAATCTCAGAATCTCAGAATCTCAGAATCTCAGAATCTCAGAATGTCTCCGAAATTCAAAAATTGAAAAATTCAAAATATCAGAATTTCGGAATTTCAAAAAACTCACCGATCCTGCGGTAACTGATTCAAATCCGATAAATTGATTTTTCCCAAACCCAATGAGACACCACGAGCTGCTAACATTTTGGGAAAATTGGGATTTTCTGGAAATTTTTAAAAATTGAAATTTTGAAAAATTGAAAAAAACGTTATTGAAGAGCTAAAAATCCGAAAAAAAAACAAAAAAAATGAAAAAAATCTCCTTCAGAATATTTGATTTTCCGTTTTTTCTTTTCTTTTTTCAGTTGAAATCCAACAAAAAAGAAGGGAAAAGACTTCTTTGAAGGAACACATTGGGAAGAAAAAATTGGGAATTTTTTGAGAATTCGGAGAAGAGAAAAGTAAGGAAAAGTAGAGGAAGAAGATGGAATTGTCAGGGGATCAGATGAGGAATAAAAAGAAGCCAAAAAGAAGAACGGAAATGAGGAAAAGAAAAAGAAAATTTTATTTTTTGGCTTCTTGAGCTTCTTCTTTTCCAGAAGATTCTCTGAGAAAATTGGGAGAAGAAGCCAAAAGTTGGAAAATTGGATTTTTATATTTTTTGAATTTTGAAATTTTTTAATTTATGAATTGTTGAGTTTCTAAATTTTCAGAACTTCTGAATATTCGAAAAAAATTCTAAGAAAAAGAGGAAATATATTTTTAAAATCCTCTCATTTTTTATTCCATTTTTATGAATATTCATGAAAGAAAATGTACTTTTTGATCATCAAAAAAATGGGAAAAAGTGACAAAGAAACGAGTTCAAAAAGTTTTAAAATATTTTTGATTTTTTGTAGTTTGTAGTTTAATCAGCAAGGAAAAAACAGGAATTTTGATTTAGGAATTGAGAAAAATCGGAAAGTCGGCAATCCAAAGTTTTCAAATTTTTTTTTGATTCAATAATTTTTAAACTATTCATAAAACACAAAAATAAAAACTGAAATTTAGAAAAATCGAAAGTTCTAAATTTCCAAAATTCGGAAATTCAAAAATTCAGAAATCCAAAAAACCATGAAATTCAAATCTTAGAAATTGAAAAATCGAAAATTCTAAAATTCGGAAAGTCAGGAGTTCGAAAGTTTGAATAATTCTGAAATTCTAAAATTCTGATGTTGGAATAATTAATGTTAGCAATTCAGAAAATTTTCAAAAACTAAACAAAATTTTATTAAAAATAAATCCAGAAAAAAATTCATGTCCAACCAAAAAAAAGTTATTATATGACCTGACCAACGTCTTCTGGAGCAAAGGAATTCTCATTCAGAGACATGTGACATATGTCTCCAGAAGATGAAGAAAAAGAAGAAGAAGAAGAGAGTAATTGGAGAAGTCCTCTCCAGAAGAAGAGTCCCTTCGCTCCGAAGAAAAGAGAAGAAGAAAAGGTGGATGGGGCATGTCTGCGTCTCTCAATCTCTCTACCTATTTGAAAAACAGGCTATATCTTTTGAATGGTAATAGATAGATTATAAATTTTAATTACAAAATTATAGAAAATTCAATTTTACACTATTTATTAGTTGACTCTTTTTTGATAACTCTAACCGTTCAAGAGTTAGAAACGCAGAGACGCAGAGATACTCGTTTCTCAAGGCTTTTTTTTCAAAAGGTATATCACGTGAGCAGTTTGAGCTATCAAAAATTGAAAACAACAAAAATGTGTAAAATTGAATTTCCTCCATTTTTGTAGTTGAAAACTTTTTGATAGCTTTTTTCATTCAAAAGTTATACCTGTTTTTCTCTGCGTCTCTCCCTCCCTCTCTCCCTCTCACTCTTTCAGGGGTCCTCAGGATATAAGGGACATGTGTTGTTGGGGGACCTAACCAGAGAAAGGGACTCTTTGGTTTTCAAAGAGAAGAATAGAAAAGAGAGAGTAGAGAGACGCAGAGAAATGAAAGAATAGACGGGGCGAACATAGAAGCCCCCTTTTGATTGACATTTTATAGACTTTTAAGCTGTTTTTTTAGATTCGAAAAGTTAGTTTTTTTTGTGTGTGTGAAATGCGCAAATGACTATTTTTTAAATGAAAGCGCAAGCCATAAAGAATACAGAGACGCAGAGAAGCGAGAGTGTCTAACTGTCTGCGTATCTATTTTTGCGCGCGCTGTTAGCGCTGCATTTAAGGTAGTATAACTCGAGAAGGAAAAGAGGTATCAAAAACCTTTCAACTACAAAAATATAGAAAATTTAATTTTACATGTTTTTACTGTTAACAAATTTTAAATACCTAGAACCGCTCTTGAGATATTACCCCTGAAAGAGGAGAGACCCAGATAAACTAGGGAGTCTAACTGTCTGCGTCTCTAACTCTTTATCAGTTAAAGCCATCAAAAAGTTATCAACTACAAAAATATAGGAAATTTAATTTTACATATTTTCATAATTTACAAATTCCAAATAGCTTTTACGGTTCTCGGGATATACGAGTTATATGCAAAACTTTTTTTTGGAAAAAATAGAAAAATAGCAAAGTTCTCATTCTCTAGTATTCTAGTATCCTATCCCCAGCTCTCAACTCCTCATTTTCCTAGTTCCTAATTTAAAATTCGCTTCTCTTTCTCTCCCAATTTCTCTGCGTCTCGCACTCTTCCCACGCTATTTGTCCAGGTCCCATTAAAAAAGACACAAAACAAAAAATACGCTTTTTTCGGACCACAATTTCTGGAAAAAAGAAAAGGAATCAGCCATCCGGAATGACATTCAATTGATGAAGAATGATGAAGATGTCAGCGGCGTTTGATGAGACTCTCTCGTTTCTCTGCGTCTCTAACTGGAGAGCAGTCAAAGCTATCAGAAAATGAATAATCAGAGATATGTAGGAAATATGATTTTAGACATTTTCGTAATTTTCAGTTTTTGACAGCACTAACGGTACTCGAGATAAAACCCTTGAAAGGAAATAGTCTAGAAAAGCGAGAAGATATGTCTCTCTGCGTCTCTAACTCTCTAACAGTTAGAACTATCAAAAAACTAAAAATAACAAAATTATAGGAAATTTAATTTTAAACAATTTTGTAGTTTTCAACTTTTTGATAGCTTCAGCCGTTCTTGAGATATAACCCCTTGAAGAAGCGTGCTCAGAGAATCAGGAGTTTCTAGCTGTCTGCGTCTCTAACTCACGAACCGTTGGAGCTATTAAAAAGCTGTCAACTACAAAAATATAGGAAATTTAATTTTACAAATTTTTGTAGTTAGAAATTTTAAATAGCTTTTACGATTCTCGAGTTATACCTTGTTTTCCAAAAAAAAGCTAGAGAAACGAGAATGTCTAACTGTCTGAGATATAACTCGAGAACGAAAAAAGGTAGTAAATAGTTATTAATTACAAAAATATGTGAAATTTCATTTTACACATTTTGTGATTTATAATTTTCAAATAGATTTCACCGTTCTTGAGATAAACCCTTTGGGAGAAGAGATAGAGAGACGCAGAGAAGTGAGTGTCTTAATGTCTGTGTCTCAAACTCTCGAACGGTTCTTGATATCAGTAAGTTGTTAACTATAAAAATGTGTGAAATAACATGTTATATACTTTTGTAGTTGACAACTTTAAGATAGCTCCAACCGATCTTGAGATATAGCCCATGAAAGGAGAGAGACCCAGATATACGAGTGTCTCTGCCTCTCTGCGTCTCTAACTTAGGAACGCTCATAGCTATAAAAATTTTGAAAACTACAAAATTATAGAAAATTTGATTTTACACATTTTTGCATTCGACAATTTTGAGAAAGCTTTTACCGTTCTCGAGTTATGCCTAGATTTCTAGTAGAGGGAGGGGAAGGTGTCAGAGAAACTCGTGTCTCTGCTTTTCTGCGTCTTTAACTCTCGAATGGTTAGAGATACTTTAAAACTACAAACTACAAAATTATAGGAAATTTAATTTTACACATTTTTGTAGTATCAGTTTTCACGTAGCTATTACCGTTCAAAAGATACAGAATGTTTTTCAAAGGAGGGATCGAGAGACGCAGATTCTTCTAGTCCTAAATGCGTGGGGCCTGAAAAGAAGACCTTCTTCTTCAAGAAAAAAAAACGAAATTTATGAATAAATTCTGTGAGAAAACGTTGTACTTGTTCCTCCTCCCTCTTCTCTGTGACCGGAAATCTTTTTTTTCCACTTTTGGGAAAAAAAAACTTCCTCTTCTTTGTATCCCAATTTTGCAGAATTTTTCTGTTCGGTAAAAATTGCTAAAATCTCATTTTTTTATTGAATTGAATCCAAATAAAAATCACACTATGTAGTAATTTGAAAATGTTCTCTATAATTGAATTTTAAAAATTATTCTCTAGGGTTTCAAAAATTTATAAACAGATTCGATGAACAATTGTGGCTTGTCAGCGTGCACCCAGTGGCCAGCGTCAGGAATCGCATCGAATCGGACCTGAAATTTTCGAAAATTTGAGAAAAATAATGGTGGTGGCCTAGCTTTTTCAGTGGCCTAGAAACTGAACATTCTAGGTCACAATAATCGGTGGTCAAAATTTTACAATTCTTATGTTACTAGGCCACTAGGAGAGGCCTAGAGACCCTAAAAATGGAGTTTTAGCTCAGTTGGCCTAACTTTCTCGAGGAGTGGCCTAGAAACCCCAATTTTCAGACAGATGGCCTAACTTTCTCCGGCCATGGCATAGAAACCCGAAATTTCAGGTCATCAACCTGTGGAAATAGGCATTTGATATCCGGTTTGTGACTATCCGGAACGTAGCCAGATTTCGAGCCATGGAGGAAGAGAGTGGGTCCACGATAGCTGCCAGCGGGAAGATTGTACCTGGAAAAATTTGTAGTTTGTAGTTTTGGTAGTTTGTAGCCTATTTTTCAATGGCCTACTTTTGGCGGCAATTCAAAGTTTTTATTTTTTTTTTCAATTTGAAATTTCAGTTCATAGATGGCTGGAATTCAAACTGTTAAGTTTTTAAAGATTTTTGAATTTAGAATTGTAGTTTGTAGTCTTTGTAGTTTGTAGTGTAGATAGCAAAAAACTGACAGAAATTCCAGAAATTTCGAATTGCAAAAATTCGGAAATTCGAAAATTCAAAAATTAGAAATACTGAAAAATCTGAATTGTAGTTTGTAGCTTTTTTAGTTTGTAGCACGATTTCAGAATGCGGCCATAGATAATGGTCTAGTATTTTTAGTTTTTGTGGGAATTGAAAATGTTTTTTTGAAATTTCAAAATTGTAGTTCTTGTAGTCTGTGGCTTAGAATTTTCTTACCCCAAAAGCTCTTCCACGTGGCTATCAATTGTGTTGATATTGACTTTCCACTCCATTTGATCCTTATTCTCAGCGGATGGCTGAAGATTTGTGAGAATAAATTGACGCATGGAAAGTTCTGGAATCGAAGACTCCAAATCCACGAGAATCTCCTTTCGAGTACGTTTTAGGTTGACTTTTCGAAGGGTTTTGATCAATTCGCGGAATTCTGAAAAATTCGAAAATTTGAATTTTCGAATTTCCCGCTCAATTTGGAGCCTCACCAAGATGTCTTCTGGAGTATCCTTTCGGTGAGACGTCTTCAACAATCAATTTCTCAATTCTATCACTCCATTTCGAGTCAATCGCCATCCGCATCACAATTTTTCCTCCCATAGAATGTCCCAACAGGTTTACTCTTCTTTTTCCAGTTTCTTCTCGAATTTTATCAATGAAAACGACTAAATCCTCTGCCATTTCTGTATATGTCATCGTGTCGGTGTGCGGAGAGGCTCCATGATTCCTGACGTCGACTGTGAACACTGGAGCTTCTAATTTCTTGTTGAGCGCTTTCCCGACGGAATTCCAGTTGGTTTTTTGACCGAATAACCCGTGAACAATCACTAGCGGTGAGTTTCGATCAATTCCAGGAGCGGAGAATTGATTATAGGCGAGGGAAACCTGAAAATCTTTTTCTTTTTGGTTTTTGGGCGAAAATCAACGTACCGGGGCGAAAACTTGGCAAGAACTATGAATTTTTTGTGTTTGAGTAATATTTCTAGCATTTTTTATAACATTTTTCACTAGCGACATGTCTAAACCCCGAAAAATGCTAAAAAATGACCAAAAAAAATCGGCAAACGACACTCCAAAATCTCGCGGTGCGCCTTGTTTAGCGTAAATCCACAAAAGAAAAAGCGAGGGAGATTTGAATTTGGAATTTTTTTTAAAGTGATTTTTCAGGTTTTTCAGATATTTTCAGCAAGAAATCAGGATTTTTTAATGATTTTTGCTCAATTTACAGGTGGCATTATTAATGCAGACACTATTCAATGCGAAGTGTACCCATTTTCACCAATTTTCGACCGGAATTTAAAATATTCATAATAAATATACAAAATGAATCATTCCGAAAACTTTTTTAATCTTCTTTCCCGATGTACACATAAAATATGACATTTTGATGCGACATAACGTCTCCGCAACGTTTTTATCAACATACAAAGACGGTTCCGCCGCACTGCCCGCGCTCCTTTTTGTGATTGCGCAGGCACTGTATATTTATTGAAAAACGGAACAAAATTATATGGATTTTCCGATATGGGAAACAATTTTTTGAAGGGTTTTTCCTTTTAGGTTTTTTGGTTTCCAAAGAATTTTCGAACTTGGGAAAATTTCGGAATTTCTAATTTTTTTATATAGCTTTTTCGGAGTTAGCGATACTTTTAGAATTACTGAATTTTCAAAATTTATGAGCTTCTAAATTTTTGAAATTTTGAATTTTATGAATTATAACTTCTGGAATCGAACTTTCCAAATTTAAAAACTTCTGATATTTCAAAACCTTCCGATTTTGGAATCTCCGGAATTTTCAATTTCCTAGAAATGAGATTTTCTGAAATTTTGAAGTTATGAATTTTTGAAATTCAAAAGTCCAATTTCGGAATTTGCAATTTTTTTAGGTTTTTTGAGTTTTTGAATTCCTAGGTTTCTGAATTTCGACAAGTTTTGAATTGCTGAATTTCTCAATTTTAGAATTTAGAATTTCTGAATTTCTGATTCTCAGAATATCCGAATTTTTGAATTTTCAGAAAATTTTGCATTTTCAGAAGTTTCAATTTTATAAATCATAACTTGAAACCAAAGAAAATTCTGAATTTTTGAATTGTTGAATTTTCGAAATTCGGAATTTTGAATTTTTGAATTTTTTGAATTTTCAGAACTTTTGAATTTTCGGATTGCTGGCGAACTGGAGTATTAGATTTTTTGGTTTTTCAGTCTTTTCAATTTCTTTTTAAAAAATTTGGGAATCTGAATTTCTAAATATCTCAATTCTCGTAATCCTAAGTGGAAATCACAACTTCCGGATTTTCTGGAACTTCAAATTTTCAGATATTCTCATTTTTCAAAATGATCTCTATTGGATTACCGAAATTCTTATTCTTCCTAGAATTACGAATTTCTGCATTACCGAATTTTTGAACTTTTTTCAGAACTTCAAACTTTCCGATTTCCAATTTTTTAAATCACCGGAAATATTCTAAATCTCAAAAAATAAAAAGTTTCCAAACTTTTCAAGAAAAAAAACCAACAAAAAGAAGAGAAACATAACATTTGGGAACTTTCAGGTTTTTTCCAAAAAAAATACTTCATTGTGCTTTTCCCTTCTTTTTTCCATATGACGATGATGCCAACCAACCCAGCGACCTGTCTGTTTTTATGTCCATATATGTCCATATATGTACAAATACATATGTACATGATGTCTATATAAATGTGTACACAACAGCTTAACACTTCCATCTACCGCCACCCTTTTCCCCTTTTTACCGCCGTTCTCTTTTTGCCGAAAAACGCCACCTTACTTTTTGAGCTTGTTTTGATTCTTGTGTTTCCGTAAAACCTGTTTTTAAAGGGCAACCTCTTATTGGAGAGCCGCCTCTGTGATAGAAGGGTCCACCGGAAGCACCTTGGAACAAAAGAAGCGCTCTTCTAATACAGGTTTTGTGGTATCAAATGAAAAGGTAGGGCTGTGAACGGTTTTGGGATCCGTAAAACTGTCAAAACCGTAACAATGGCAAAATCTATTATTTCTGACAAGCGAAACCTACTCAAAAATTTCCAATTTCCACAATTTCAGAATTGTTGAATCTTGGAATCTCTGAACTTCAAAATTTCAGATCGTAAACCATTAATTGTACGAATTGCTGAAATTCGAAATCTCACATTCTCAAAAGTCTCTAAAATTTTTTTTGGAATTTTCAAAATCTGGCAATAAGATTTTATTGTTGTCTAGAAAAAATACTTTTTTTCTCTGGGTTCTGTTTGCCCAATTCCTTTAAAACTGTTTCGAAAATTTTCAGATTCAGTTTCTCGAAAAAATTCCTTCCTGACATCTCTGGTGTTTCCTCTAGTAAGACACTATCCTATACTTCCCTTTTGAGCTCAATTATCCCGGTTTCTGTGAGAGATATCAAAAAAAAGTCAGTTAATGGAGTATTTCTGATATTAAGGTAAACATTTTATCAGTTGACAAAATTTTGATATCTCTCACAGGAAGCGAGATATTTAAGCTGAAAGTGTGCAAGCGCCGACCGAGCAATTTCAAATTTAATTATCTTGGTTCCCATAAGAGATATCAAAAATTTGTCAACTAATAAAATGTTTTTCATAATATTACCTACATTTTATCAGTTGACTACTTTTTGACGTCTTTCCCAGGAATTGAGATAATTGAGCTCAAAGTGAACGTATACATAAGATGGGCTTCTATTAGAGAAAATACAGTAGTCCTATTTCTTCGGAATTTTTCGGACTTTGAAATTCTGCTCCTTTCTACTGATCATTCTCATTTTTAACCCCTTTTTTCCTCCCAAATTCCCTCCATTTCCCAGGTGATTGGTCTCTCTGAATGACCTCTCTCTATGTCTCCATACATTCTGATTTACAACACTTCATTTCTTCGATTTTCTCTTCTATTTGACCTGCAGTGGAGATGATGACGATTTCTCAATATCCTTATCAAGATGTATCTCTGATTGTTATTCATGTTCCCTCTCCTTCTTCTTTTCTTGAGATCATAGGTAAATAGAAAATTCCTTTCTTTTTCTAGGATTCCTTTTTCTCTTTTTCCTACTATTTGAAATTTAGAAATTCTGAAATTCGGAAATGTTGAAATTCTACAGCTTTGAGATTCTGAAATTCTGAGACTTTGAAATCCTGAGATTCTGACATTCCGAAATTCTGCAGTTCTGAAATTCTGAAATTCTTCGGGATTCTGGGATTTTGGAGTTCCGAACTTCTGAGATTCTGAAATTCTGAAGCTTTGGAATTCTGAAATTCTGAGATTCTGGGATTCTGAGATTCCGAAATTCTGAAATTCTAAAATCCTGAGATTCTGAAATCCTGAGAAATTGAAATTCTGACATCTGGAATTCAAAAATTCTGAATTTCGAGTTCCTAGTCCTACCACCTGACCGTTCAACTATTTATTCATTTTTATTCTAGTAGATCAAAAAATTTCCATAAGTAGGATTACTGTATTTTTTGAATTTTTACTTTAAAAAAACTGTTGTCATGTGAATTATATTGATTTTCGGCAGTTTGTTTGATTTTTGGATTATTAGGTTCCTCGAAAAATTTCTAGGTCAACAAAATTTTTTTTTTTGGGAAAAATTGTGAATTTTTGATTTTTCTAGACCGTGAAATTGAAAATTTGACTCAATTTTTTAATTAAAAAAATTAATTTACTAAAAATAAAATTTAGAAAAAAAAAAAAAAAAAAAGTTATTTTGCTAATTTCCAAAAATGTTTAGATTTTTGAAAAATAATTTTCGCAGAGTTTTTCGAAAAATTAGGGGTAATTTCTTTCGATTTTTTCATTTTTAAACAATTTTCTGCTGAACTGATAACACTTTTTATCGATTTTTTTAAATATAAAAATTTATATTTTAATGTTATTTTTGGCATTTTTTACCTGACAAACAATAGGTGACACACAACCTACAAACCAGTTTCGAAATAGGATTATTTTACTATTTTTTCAAATTTTAGTCTCCCCAACGACACGTTCTCAATTAAAAAAAATCGATTTTTAGAATTTTTTTTGTCTGAAATGTTCAGAATTTTTAATTTAATTAGTTTGTTTTTCAACTTTACTAACATCAATACTCATTATGCGTCCGTTTCGATATTGTACATTTTTTTCAAATTTTTTCAAATTTTTTCAAATTTTTTATATTCCCGCCAAATCTTCTAAATTCAAATTTTCAGATCAAAATAGGCGGCACATGATCTGCGGTGCGATCGTCACCGTCTTGGTGACGTGGCACGTTTGTCTGACTACTGGAAATGAGGATTTTATGTAGGTAAAATGTTTTGGAGGGAATTCAAATTTTTAGCTGTTTTCAGACCTGTACAAAATATTACTGAAGGCAGTGGACAGGAGGAAATGGTGAGGGATTACTGTAGAAAATTGGAAAAATTTAAGAATTCAAGAATTCAAAAACGCAACAATTCAACAATTTTTCTTTTCAAAAATTCGGAATTCGAAAGTTCAATTATTCAACATTCAAAATTTTAAAAATTCAAAAAGTCAAAAATTCGAAAATGTAAAATTTAAACAATCTTAGTATTCTAAAATTCTGAAATTCAGGAATTCCTAGAAATCCAAAAATTCAAAAATTCAAAATTTCTAAAATTCTGAATGAATTTTTTCAGACAATTTGGTCGAACGATCTGCCACCGCTATCGTCGGAAATCGATTTTCTACGGTCCACAACACAGAAAACAGTGACAAAACGAGCGACGAAAACTTTTGTGAGTTGAAAAAAAAAAGAAGTTTTTGTGTTTTATGTGCTGAAATTGGCTGAAAAATGCTGAAAAAATTTTATCGAAAAAATTTTTTTGAGCTCAAAAAATCATGAAAAAGTTTCAAAAAAAAAAAAAGAAAAATATTGATTTTTAAACATATTTTTTCAGTACAATGGAATTCTGGACCGCCCGTTTTTCTCAGTGTTCTCCTACTCAAAACCCATCATTCCGCCCACTGCAATCATTCCACTCAACCGCCCATTGCAACGTGGCAACAGTATCCCACAGCTACAGTACATCGCTTTATGGTTTGTCTTTTTTTTTGACAAGTGCGCTCTACTGAGAATCCAATTTTTGCAGGGCGCCACGCGGCCAACCACCTCACTGGGGCGCGATTTTCCAGAATGTTCTAGGAAAATTGGATGGAAGTTTTATAAAAGATCGAAGGATATACAATTTGTCATCCACCGAAATGCAGAATACGCCTGTCCGACTGGTACAGTATGTCGGAAATGAGCAGGAGAATAATTTCAAGTAAATTTTTGAAGAAATTCAAATTTGGCGCCAATTTCGAAAATTCAGATTCGCCTGGACAAAAGCGATCGATGTTGACATGGCTACAGTAGTCTCGGAACACGACTACACACAAAAATGTAGTCCCCGAATGGCGCCGGCCGTGTTACAGGTGGGCGTGGCCTAGAAAATTGCTCAAGTTAGGCCGCCATATGTTTTTAGGACCAAGGATACGAGTTTCTCGGCGAGGCGGATATTGATAATCGAATAATGTATTATGTGGATCACAATATTGTAAATTCGGTGTCTGGGGTAAGTTTTTTGTCCTTGGTGGCCTAGAAAAATCTAGGTCGTGTTAAAAATTTCAATTTTAAGCCTAAAAACAAGAAAAAAATTGTCCAAAATTTGAAATTTCATAGAAAATTCAAAAGAAAAATTTGATGGCCTAGAAAGTGGAAAAACTAGGCCACAAGAAAAATTTTCGAAATTCTCTCAAAAATTTGTCAAAAAATGTTGATGGCCTAGAAAATGCAAAAAATACTAGGCCATCTAAAAATACTGACGTTTTTTGTGAAATTTTCAAATTTCCCAAAAAAATTTTGAAAAAAATGAGCAAAAATTCAAAATTTAAAAAAATTATGAAAAAAAAATGTATTTTAATTTGAAAAAAATTTTTTGGAAAAATTTCAAATTTTCGAAGAAAGACGTTTTTTTTCAAAAAAATCTAACTCCCGCTTTTTTCAGAGTCTCTTCACGAACAGCGTCTATTTGCTCACAAAACAACAGTGTCAATGCTCATGCCCATCTACTAGCTACTAGAAAATTCTTTTTTTTTCAGTTTTTTTGCGCTTTTTTCTTATCTGTGATATGATTATTCTGAATATATTTCTATTATATGTGCATATTGATTTTATTGATTTTTTAAATCTAAATTTTGTAAAAATCGATTTTACGGGTAGAATTTCGATGAGTTGTGATATACTTTTTCCCCCATTTTCTGTGATATTTTGTGATTTTTTTGTTGAAATTCTGTGGAAAAATATGGCAAAAAAACGAATTTATTATTTTCGAACTGACCCGATTTGGCGACTCTGTTGAATGAAGATTTTTCGATATTCCTGAAGCGTTTTCTCGTTTTCGGCAGCGATTTTTCGAAAATCGAATGGAATGAAATTTTGGTTGAATTTGACGAAATCTTCGAGAAATTTCCGAGGATTCTTTTCCAGCATCATTTCGCTGAAATCCATGGGGGAGCCGAGGCGATAGTTGAGCTGAAAAATCAGAAATTCGAAAATTTTTTTTCGAACATTTTAAATTTTTTCCATATTTTTGCTGAAATTTTTGTCGAAATATTGATTTTTTCTTTTTTTCCGGAAATTTCCCAATTTTTTTTCAAAAAATTTAGAAATAAAAAATTTTTTGTCGAAATTTTGAAGTTTTTTACAATTTTTTTCCGATAATTTTAAATTTTTACTGAAGTTTTTTCCATATTTTTTGTAAAAATTTGATTCTTTCCGGAAATTTTGCCATTTTTTTTAATCAAAAATTTGAAAATTTTCCCAAATTTTTTTTCAAAAGTTTCGAAATTTTTTCTATTTTTTCGCTGAATTTTGAAAATTTTATGACTTTTTTGTAATTTTTGTTTTCGAAATGCTTTATTTTTTTTGCCGAATTTTTTTCCGGAAATTCGAAATTTTTACAATTTTTTTCTGAAAATTTGTGTTTTTTTTTTGCCCAACTCACATATAAAACATGAATAAAAGATAGTGTTCTGTAGATCAAATACACGAAAATGGCCAAATAAACAATTCGAAGGAATTTCCACTTTTTCTTCCGACCAAATTGTGTCATAACTGGAAGAATAAATTCCATTGACTCTTGAGAATTAAAATCTTAACTATTTGGCGGGAATTTGAATTTCTGAAGTTTCTAAGGGAAATTGAGTATTTTTCAAGGATTTTAGTCGACTTTACGCTTTAAAAAAAAATTAAAATTTCGTGAATTTAAAAGCTAGTGGAATGCAAATGCGCTCTAGTGAGAATTTATACAATTTCGAAGACTAAAATCATTATTTTAGTGCGCTTTTCAAAACACAAAATAAAACTAAATGTTCAAAAAATAGGCTGATTTTCGTCAGATTCGCTAGGGATAAAAAGGGATAAACCGGTGAAAAAACACGGAAATTTTTGAAAATTGCCGCCCGAAAAAGATCACGAACGAAATTTAAAAAAATGAATCGAGAGGTAGTTTTCGGACAGGTGTCATTATAGTTTGATCGCTGTGGAACAACAGAGAGACGGCAATTATACGGAAAATTGGATTTTTTTTTTGGTAGATTTCTGGCGGTTTTGACGGAAAATTCAGGTAAGAATAAAAATTTTAGCACTGAAGAACCTATTTTCAGCGGTTTTGAGCTGAAAGTTCGAACTGCAAGCTTTTTTTTGTTCAGCGGAGCGTGGTTTAGCGGCACTTTCTTTTCAATTTTCAGCGATTTTCGATGATATTTTTTGTAATTTTTCAGAGAAAATTTCGGCAAAAATTTATAAAAAATTCAAAAACTTCGAAATTTCTAAAAAAAAACAGAATTTCGGCACTAATTCTGGGAAAGTTCCAAAATTTCAACAAAAAGTTCCGAAAATAATTTTAAAATTTCTGCAAAAAAGGGAAAAAGTTTCGAAAATTTCGACAAGAAACTTGAAATTTCGGCAAAAAATTGTGAAATTCGACAAAAAATTCGTGAAAAAAATTCAAGATTTCGACAAAAAATTGAAATTTCGAAAAAGTTTCAAAAATGCACCAAATTTTTTCGTTTTAAAAATTTGGCAACCGCGCTCTGCCGAACAAAAATTTTGCAGTTTGAATTTCTATGTTTTTAGTTCAAAAATCGATATACAGTATTCATTTGCATAACTGTATTCAGAAGGGCGCGTTCAAAGGCACAGTTTGCCCGCCGAGAACAAGATGTTTACAAAACAAGAAGCAGCGAGGAATAGTATGGAAAAGTGAGAGGCGCAGAGAAAAAGAAAAGAAAATACAGTTTTTCGCTCGCTCACCGGTTGCACACGGTGCTTGCGTATCAGTTGACATTATCGGGGAGGTGGACAATCAAAAAGGAGAGAGCGTGGGAAATGAAGAGACGCAGAGGTTTTCCGACCTTTTTTGGAGAGAAGAGAGGGGGGGGGGGGCATTTGAATATGAATTTGGTTCGCTTTTTTGGGAAAAAAAGAGAAGTATGTCAAAATTTTGAAATATGGAAGGTGCTAAGCAGCGTTCAAAAAAACTGAAGAATGGGAAAAATGATGAAAAAATTTGAAAAAATCTAAATTTTCGAACTTTTGAATTTCTGAATTTGAATTTTCAAGTTTCTAGAATTTTGAATTTACGAATTTCAAAAATTTGATGTTTCGGGACTTCTGAAATGTTGAATTTTTAATTTTTGAATTGTGGAACTTTGAAATTTCCGACGATCTGAATTTCTGAATTCCAAAAGTTCTAAAATTATGAATTTCCGATTATCATAATTTTTTCCGAAAATCAATCTGTTAATACAGTAATACAAAATAAAGATAATCTGAAAAATCTTCTTAAAATTTGAGATCTTAACCCTATAATTCAGAAAGAAAGAAATCTGAAAAATCTAGAAAAAACTGAAAAAAAAACTGAAAAAAATGGAGAAATGGGAAGTAGACTGCCTCCCCAAAAAGACATAAAAATTGATGAAAAAAAATACACTTTACATTTACCAATTGGGTTTGACTTGACATTTATAAATCACATTGATTTATGTGTCAAGTCAAACTTTTTTATATTGCGATCGAAAACTTTTTTTGAGAATTCGAAAACAAATCCTAGACTTTGCGTAATTGGAAAAGTTTGGAAAGAACAGGGGAAAAAATGTGGATTTCTTAAGATTATGAGAATTTCCAATTTTTAGGATTTTCCATTTTCTGAAAATTTTTAGAATTGTCCCAAAATTTCAGAAAATTTTGAAATTCTGAACTTTTTACATTCAGAAATATGGAGGTTATGGGGGGTATTTTGAAATTTTTTTATTTTGAGAGATTGAGTTTTAAATTTTTCAAGGACTTCTGAAATTCGGATACCATGATTTTATTAAATCCTGAATTTCTAAATATCCGAGATTCAGAATTTCTGAATTTTTGAATTTCTGAACTTCGAAATTTCTGTATTCCTGAATTTGTGAAATTGCGAATTTCCAAATTCCCGAAGTTGTATTTTTTCAAATATCAAAAGAAAATTAGGGATTTTTGGTAATCTGGAATTTCTGAGTTAGTAGATTTTGAATTTTTAAAATTGAATAAATCTGGAATTTTCAAAAACAAGAGTCTCCAGGTTTTTTTCTGAAATCTTGAATTTCAGACCGATTTCAAAATTTTTTCCGGAGTTTTCGATTTTTTCTATTATTGACTTTTGAACTGCTGAAATTTAATATTTTTCAATTTTGGACTTCAGAATTTCAGAATTCCTGAATAAGGCTTCCATTTCGGTCGATCGAAAATCGCCGACCGCCGACCGACCACCGACCCAGCCGACCGACAGCCGACCGAGCTGACCGATCGGTCGGCGCGCCGGGTCGGTGGTCGGTCGGTTGGCTAAATTTCCCGGCCGAATGGAAGCTTTATTCCTGAAGTTTTCTGATCTTCGGAATTTCCGATTTTCGGAATATCAGAGATTCCGAAGGAAGTTCTGAAATTCTGAATTTCTGAACTTTTGAATCACGAAATTTCAGAATTTCGTATCTTCTGAACTTTGGACTTCTGGAATTTGAGAGATTCGCTGTTTCAGTTTCTCCAAAGGTCAGAATATTCTGAAACCTCAAACATTGATAAGCATAGGTTCTGAAAATGCAAGAATTCGAAAATCAAAGTTGAAGTTTTTAAATTTTCGAATTTCAGAATTTTTGCATTTCAAGATTTTATGGTTTCAGAATTCTCAGAATTTCCGGATTTCCGAAAATCAAGCTTAAAAATTTTCCCAATTCGAGAATGTTGAAAAATTGTATCGAAAATCCGAGAACCTATTTAAATTGAAGAATTAATTTGAAATTTCGGAAACATTCAAAACCTTTAAATCTCTAAATTTGAAAAAATTGCTTTCGAAAAAAAAATTTCAGATCCATCCAACTCCAGAATTTTGTAAAATCTTAAAGGTGGGGGGACATGAAAAAAATAATGTTCTCGAAATTTCGTTCAAAGATGCCCCTCGAGGAGTTGAACTTGTGAGGGCGATGATTGAGGGTGCGGCGCCGCTACCGACTGAGCCACGCGGGCAAAGAGAAAGCGCACGCCCGATTGCATACATAAAGGCGAGGACGACAGCTGTACGCAGAGTGACATTAAGCGTTGTACACCGTCACGGTAGAATGCATACTCTAGCTACAAAAAAACTACGAAAAATCTCCTGTCCCCCCACCTTTAAAAGCTGATAGGCATAGATTCTGAAAATACAAGAGTTCGACAATCCAAGCTTTGGAAACATTCTGAAACTTTGAACTTGTAAAGTTGAAAAAAATCGTAGAATTAGACAAATTAAATTTTCAACATCAAGTTTAGTTTTATAATTTTACCAACTTTTTCTTTCTTTTTTCCTCTTCTAACCCACTTGAAAAAATCTAATCATTTTTCTCACATTCTCTGCGTCTTTCCTGATTTTTTTTCTCTATAAATCACTCCCATGAAAGTACATAACAGTATATTCTCTCTCATCTTTTCCCCGTCTTTTCCTCAAGAATTCTGCAAAAATTTGCCCAATAAAATTTCCCTTAATTTCTCTCTCTCTCTTTTTGCCTTTTTGTCCTTTTCTCATGTTCCTCTTCCCCATGTGATAAACTGATAATTACCTTGATTTTATCATTGTGAGAATCTCTTGAGAATTTTCACAGCACTTCCGGTCAATTTTATTGGTTTTTTACACTAAACAACTACTTTTTTTCAGTGATTTGTATTTTATTATATTGAAACACCTTTAAAAATACAGAACTTGTGAATAATTTGAAACTTTTGAATTTTAGAAGCTTGAAGATCGGAGGTTTAGGAAAAAACGAAAACTACAGTAACCTCGAAATATTCAGAATTTGAAATGTCTGAAAAAAATCTCGGAGTTCAGAGAGCTATTTTTTAAGAATTCCAGAATCTTATAATCTCAGAATTTCAGAATTTCAGAATCTCAGAATTTCAGATTCTCGCATTTCCAGATTCTCAGAATTTCAGAATTTCAGAATTTCAGGATGTCAAAGCCTCAGAATCTCAGAATCTCAGGATCTCCAAATCTCAGAATTTCAGAATTTCAGAATTTCAGAATTTCAGAATTTCAGAATCTCAGAATCTCCAAATCTCAGAATCTCAGAATCTCAGAATCTCAGAATCTCAGAATCTCAGAATTTCAGAATTTCAGAATTTCAGAATTTCAGAATCTCAGGATCTCCAAATCTCAGAATCTCAGGATCTCAGAATCTCAGGATCTCCAAATCTCAGAATCTCAGAATCTCAGAATTTCAGAATTTCAAAATTTCAGAATCTCAGGATCTCCAAATCGCAGAATCTCAGAATCTCAGAATCTCAGAATCTCAGAATCTCAGAATCTCAGAATCTCAGAATTACAGATTCTCAAATTCTCAGATTCTCAGGCTCTCAGATTCTCAGAATCTCAGAATCTCAGAATCTCAGAATCTCAGAATCTCAAGATCTTCAAATCTCAGAATCTCAATTTCTGAATTTCTGAATTTCTGAATTTCTGAATTTCTGAATTTCTGAATTTCTGAATTTCTGAATTTCTGAATTTCTGAATTTCTGAATTTCTGAATTTCTGAATTTCTGAATTTCTGAATTTCTGAATTTCTGAATTTCTGAATTTCTGAATTTCTGAATTTCTGAATTTCTGAATTTCTGAATTTCTGAATTTCTGAATTTCTGAATTATTGAATTTCTGAATTTCTGAATTTCTGAATTTCTGAATTTCTGAATTTCTGAATTTCAGATCTTCGGAATTTCAGAATCTCAGAATTTCAGAATCTCAGAATTTCAGATTCTCGCATTTCCAGATTCTCAGAATTTCAGAATTTCAGAATTTCAGAATTTCAGAATTTCAGAATTTCAGGATGTCAAAGCCTCAGAATCTCAGAATCTCAGAATCTCAGAATCTCAGAATTTAAGAATCTCAGAATTTCAGATTCTCAAATTCTCAGAATTTCAGAATTTCGGAATCTCAGAATCTCAGAATCTCAGAATCTCAGAATCTCAGGATCTCCAAATCTCAGAATCTCAGAATTTCAGAATTTCAGAATTTTGGAATTTCAGAATCTCAGAATCTCAAAATCTCAGAATCTCAGAATTGTCATGTCGTTAGAAGGAACTCCCTTAAAATTTTGGACTTTTTGATACCCATTTTACTTTGTCCTACTTTTATAAATTTGAGATTCTAAAAACTCAGAAGACGTCAGAAATTTCAGAAATCAAAAATTTGGAAACTAGGGCAATGTGGGCGTCAAAATGTCGGAAATTTCAAGGAAATTCGTTCTAACAGCATGAAAAATTCGAAATCTGTTTTTTTAAAATTCAAATCTTCCAGATTCTGGCTTAAAATGTGCGAATTTTTTGTCAATTTTTTGTTGAAAAATTAAAAGTTTCCATATTTTTCCACATTAGAACATTTCTTTTTTCTTCTTCCCTCAATTGAAAATTCATATCTCCAGAGTCTCAAAAACCTTCAAAAAACACACAAAAAAGAAAAAAGTCGCATGTTTTTTGTTCGAAAAACGAGAGATTTAGAGAAGTCAGAGACAAATAAACAAGAGTAGAAATTGCGCACTATTTGGAGGAAAAATAAGGGGGAGGAGGAATGTTCTGGTTAAGAGATCAAAGATTGGAAAAATAAGGCAGACATCTTTGGTCTACTATTTGATTCTACTATTTTTCTTTTTTTTTTTCTTTTTTCATTGGTTTTATTTCAGTTGACCAGATGAGACAGCTCTATTTTTTTTTGAATTTTGTTAACCTTTTTTTTGAATTTTTGAATTTTCGAAATTTTAAAATAATGAGAATCTGAAATTCTTAAATTCTAGGATTCTAAAATTCTGAAAATCTGTGATTCTGGAGTTTTCTTACAAATATTCAAAACTTTTTGATATCTCAGAAATTTCGAAACTTTAAATTTTGGAAGATCCGGTCATTTTGGATTTTTTGGATTCTTAATTTTTTTTTAGATTTTTCAGATTTTCATTTTTCCGAGATTCTGAGAGTTTGAGATTTTGAGATTCTGATAATCTGAGATTCTGAGATTCTGAGATTCTGAGATTCTGAGATTCTGAGATTCTGAGATTTTGAGATTTTGAGATTCTGATAATCTGATATTCTGAGATTCTGAGATTCTGAGATTCTGAGATTCTGAGATTCTGAGATTCTGAGATTTTGAGATTTTGAGATTTTGAGATTCTGATAATCTGAGATTCTGAGATTTTGAGGTTCTGAGATTTTGAGATTTTGAGATTTTGAGATTCTGATAATCTGAGATTCTGAGATTCTGAGATTTTGAGATTTTGGTAATCTGATATTCTGAGATTCTGACATTTTGAGATTTGGAGATTCTGAGATTCTGAGATTTTGAGATTCTGAGATTCTGAGATTCTAAAATTCCTAAATTCTGAGATTCAGAAGTTCAGAAACTTTGAAATTCTGAAAATCTAAAATTCGGAAACTTTGAATTTCTGAAATTCCGAATTTCAGAAATTCAGAAATGTATGTCTGTATGTCCAGATGTCCTCTTTCATATTCCTTGTTTACTATTTTGTTTACTACGTCCCCTTTCAGTTTTTCTAATTCTCTCATCCCTCTTTTCTTCACGGGGGCGTTTTGAATTGATTTGTAAGTCACCTGGACAGAAAGTTAGCATCAAAAAGAAGAATGAGCAATCAGGAAACGACAGCTGACCCCTTCTCTCCGTCAGGTCCCTTCGGTTTACTAGAGGAAAAATCCGTCATTTCGAAAACCGGAAAACACTAAATTTCACTTTTTTATCTTCAATTTTTTGTTGCCTTTTTCTCTGGTTTTTTTAGACTCTTGAATTCTGAAATTTACAATTTGCATACTTGTAAAATTCCGGGCCGGGCCTGAGGAAAATATCAAGGCCCGGGCCCGGCCCGGAAGGCCCGGTAGCAAAAATTTATGTCATTTTGAACCGAATTTTGAGCTCTCAATACAATTTTCTATATTTTTTGTGCTTTTTGGATTGTTTGTCTGTTTGATCAAAAAATATCAGAAAAAACTCGAAAAAATTTTTTTGATCGAAAAAAATTACATAAGGGTCCCCCCTTATGTGTTTTTTGAAATTTTCAAAACTTGTG